TACAGGTCTGTACCTCTGCTGATGCTCTTTCAGATAATCTGCTGTCTGTTTAAAAAGGAAATGAGGAAATAATAAATATCTAAACAATGTATACTATAAGTTAAAGCTTTTTTTTCGTTTATTTTATTTGACTGATCCCCTGAGTTGCTGCTCTCTCTGGATTTCTCTTCAGCAACATCTTAGGAAAGACATGTTAGAGAGATCATATGTTTTTAAAAATCAATAGACAAAATAGTCAAATATCAGTCTTTTTATTGAATTGGATGGAACAAAGTGTTAATTTACCTGCAAGTTCTACCAAATTTGGTTTGGGTGTTGTATTGGAAAAGTCTAAATGATTTTTTTTTTTAAAAACCTTATTAGACACATGAATTTTTAAAAACAGAAAACATTATATGCCCATCATCCCATAAAACACATACGTTTTAATAAAAAAAGGGTTTAATTTCTGGGGCTTCACATTCTGTAAATAGAGAGAAAAAGTCACATTAAATAATGTCACATTTAGGACGGTCAGTGATTTCTTAAATCGTCAGACATATAGGTCTGAAGTTCTGAACATTACATCCTTTTTTCCATCACTATCTAATCACTCACCTGCAGTCGGATCTGTCGGATATACAGGATCCAGAATCTTCTCTGTTGCTAGATCCATTTCTAAGGAAAAAGGGCTCCTGAGGTCAGAAACCAGCAACCAATAGCACAGCTGACTATTTTCTGATTCTCACATAAGAGTATTAATTGCACTTCCCTTCATTTCCATGCAACAGACTCAAGAAAGGTCATACTGAAGCAACAAATCACAGACCTGAGAGCTGTGTTGGTTCAGTGTGGTCAAGAGGTAGATTCATTTCAAATGCATCTGATGTGAGAATGCACAAATTGAGAATAAATAATGAATGTAACATGAATGTAAAATTATTCCTTTTAGCAGGGAAAAGGAAACAACATGCTCACCCTTCAGGAAACGTAACAAATCTTCACTCCCTTCTAAAATATATATTATGTCATTATGAATTATTTACAATAATATATTTTCAAAGCAAAATAATTATATAATTGTGCTAAACAATCATAATTAGAATCGTCTAAAACCCAAAACTGTCCAAAATCTAATCAAGTCGAAATCAAATGAAGTTACCTCTCATGGCTGCTGAATATACAGCATTTATAAAGACGAGAACAGTCAGGCAGCTGTTGATCCTGAGCCAGGAGGGAGAATAAGGCAGACAATTACAACATTTTCCAAATGTCAATATAAATGAAACACAAACATACATTCAATATTGTCGAGCTGTCTCTCTCATTGTGCAATATCATTAATTTTACACCAGCACTCATAAAACAGCCCTACATATTTGAAAACTAGTAACACGGATCTTGTATTTTATAGTGGAAAATGCTGACCAAACATATCGCAACAAAATAAACCCAAGTAAAAGGGGGAAAAAATTTAGTTTGGCAACTTACAGCTTCATATAGAGTGCTGATGTCCTTCTGAAGGGCTCGTGTGTCATTTGTGGCTTTATATGAGTGCGGGTCGCTGATCTGGACAATAGGGTCATAGATGACCGGTTACAGGGACACTGGAGATGAAGCCTGAGAAATCAGCAAAGACCTGTTTTGTTCTGAATGGCAGGTGTGTTTTTTTAATAATAAGGGGATGCATGGCTGATTTTACCCTACGGCATTTCCTTCCCTTCACAGAGATCCACTGAAGGATTTTGTTTGTGCCATTGTGGAGAAATAGGAAACCATTAGATTAAAGGCTGTCATCCATCTATTTATTTACTTCATTAACACTAGAGGAAAGGATCTTTATAAATAAAAAAGCATCACATTTGACTTGATCTCTGTCAATTTAGAAGACTGCAATGAGGATAATAAAGTTTAGGATGAGTACAGGTAAAGTGAGACCCTTTCTGACAAGTTGTCATTGGTGTTAAAATCGCTTTAAAATATTGTTTAAATGACGTTCCCCCCACACAATGGGCCTCATTTATCAATCTAACGTAGAAACGAGCGCAGATCTGTGCGCACAAATCAACTTACGACAGAGTTCACGTGTGATTTATGAAACATTAGTATGCCGCCGATCTCATCGTACGAATGATCGCATGTTGATAAATGTGGCGCCAGAAAACTATCGTCATTTGAATATCACGCCCCTAAAAACACCCAGGTTTAGAAGCCTCGCCCTTGAGTTTACGACATGCAGAAACGACACCCGGCCAAAAAGAGGAAGTAATCTCGCTAAAGAGAAATTGATCTTACTCCAAAAACACCCGTTAACCTTGTAATTGCAAACAATTAGGCTACATTAATATATGTCATTTATATGTATATTAAAATACTGGTAAATATAAACAGCCTATTTAGTTCCCCTCACTCTACAACAAATATTTTAA